GTACTTACTTTCTAATTGTAATTGCAAAGTAATTGCAAAGCTAATTACAATTGCAATATAATTGAAATCACATATTTCAAAATATTGTTGCAGTTTCTTGCAATTTTAATTTTAATTCAAATTACATTTTGCCAAACTGCATCTAAAATTTGGAGAATAATTAGGCTGGAAAATGAAAATTCTCTTTACGAACATAAATATTTAAATTTACTATAGCTGGTATAAGCACAGAACAGCAGGAAGTTTTGAACGAGCTATTTATTCCAAGTTGTTATTCAAAACCTACCGATAAAACCCATTTGCCCCTAGTGAATAGATAGTTTCCTCTCCTCAATTACCTCCCGCAGAGAAAAATTATCACCTGTCAGTTTACATTAAGAGCAGAGAGGGGAGGGCACTCTGAGACAAGCCGTATATATATGCTGCTTTGCCGCTATGAGGACCAAAATATTTGGACGCATATATGCTGCCTTGCCGCTATGAGAGCCATTATTTTCGAACGCATATATACGGCCTTGCCGCCTGGAGGGTTAATCAGGATCAACTGAGACAGAGACAAAATAGTTATTTTTTATATTCCTCTTTTAACTATATGTTATTTTGTAACTATATTATCTCATATGACTACTTTTTCTGATGTTATATAATGTACTGTTTATTGAACTAAAAGTGAAGATAATTGAAAGTTGTAGTAACAGTTATATATATATATTATCTCTAAAACTTGTCATTGCCTGAAAATGGGCAGTAACATATAACATAAATATGTATATTGTGTTGTAATGTTGTGTACAGTATTCATGTATCAACTGTTAAGTTACATAAAGAGCATCTTGAAGATTACAATCTCTTGGTGATTTACTGACTTTTTTTTTTAACAAGTGGAGGATAAAATTAATAGCAAAATAGTAAATACAAGTATTAGTTTAGTTTAATTGTATGTATATATTTAATACTTTTTATATTAAAAGGTTGATATTTTTTTAGGTCATGCGTGCGCATTTAGTTTTTGTGTAGTTTCGTGTCCGCGCGTTGTTAGCTTTTTTTTCCAACTTGCACTTTCATGCCTGAAAACAAGACCTTGTGAATCAGATGAGATTTTCTGCTTTGTGAGTGAGAGCATACGTATCCAGAAATGACGTTCTTGTCCGGAGTTGTGTGAATACACGTGCCTTCAGGAAATAATTTCAGAAATTATCATCTTTTCTTATGTCTGCGAGAAAGGTGAAATACTCGTGTACGTTTCAAAAATCGTACACAGTTGACTTTCCTTCCATTATTTCCTCAAGGAAATGTAATAAATTTACAATGTGTACCGTCTGTCGTTGTGATTTTTCAATTTCGCATGGTGGAAGGGCGGATGTTCTCAAACGTATGCGTACACAAAATCGCAAGGAAAACATGAGTTGATTTGAAAAAAATGAAAAATTAAATTTTTCTTTGGAAGCAAAGGAGCAAAAGTTATTAATGCAGAATGTCTGTTCTCTGCCTTTTTATTGGAGCACAATCTGCCACTGAATGCATCGGATCACACTGCAGCTTTATTTAGAAAAATGATTCCCGATAGTGAAATCACTAAGCAATACTCAAGTGCAAGGACCAAAACAGGTGCAATTGTTAAAGAAATGGGTTTGAAAAATAAATCTTCAGTTATTGATTGCATTAAAACAGCTCTGTTCTGCCTCTCTATGGATGGAAGCAATAATACCGATTCAAAACAGTATCCAATTGTTGTTTCTTTTTTTAATCCAGAGTCTTCAGAAATTAAGTGCACTTTACTTCCTGCCCCCACATTAGAAGGACATTCGACAGGCTATAATATAGCACAGCTATTTATTAAAACTTTAAAAGAAAATGCAGTTCCTCTGGATAATTGCTTAGCACTTTGTGCCGATAATGCACCAGTAATGGTAGGCTTGAAGACTGGTGTTGCAGGCATCTTAAAAAAGGAAAATTCAGATTTGCAGATTATGAGGTGCACCTGTCACCTCTTAAATTTAGCAGCTGAAAAGGGGCAGCTTCTTTACCAATAAATGTGGATGTACACATTGTTGATATTTATTATTATCTTGACAGGAGTTCTAAAAGGAAGGAAAAATTGAAACAGTTTCGACAGCTGCATAATACTGAAATGAGAAAAAGTATGTGCTGGCTATCTTTAAAGAAATGCTTATTGCATTTTTTAAAGGAGAAGTAGATGCTTCTAGAGTTAAGATAAAAAAGGCTCTATTGAAAGTTATAAAATACCTAAAGTAAATGGAGATGTTGTTACTACTTCCATTGTTAAAAATAGGCTTGAGAAAAATAATTTCTGCACCATTCAGCAATTCAACTGGCAGTTCTCAAAATATAAGCGTAAAGCTGATACAGATTTCTCTCAAAATAAAAAAAAAATTGCTCAACACACGAAACATTTTCCGATTACTAATTTTCCGATGGCAAATGCATCTTTTTCTGATATAAGGTACTTTTTGAACAGATTTCCTGTGTTACTTCATTTAGTCATGAAAGATGATGATATTGATGTTGCCAGTGATATATTGCAGTCGCAATTTTGCACTTTACAATTAAAAAACTTGGATTAGTTATAAAATCAGCTAGGATTGACACCTAGTGGAGTTTAATTGGAAAACTGAAAGGTGCTGATGGAATTTTAAAGTATAGTGAACTGTCTAGAATTATGTTGGCCATCTTAACAGTTCCCCATAGTAATGCAGCGTGTGAGAGGATTTTCTGAAAACGAGGACTAAATTTCGATCTAATATTAGTGATGACACATTAGAAAAACTTTTATTAGCGAAAGCAGGCCTACGTGGCAAATGCTATGAACAAAATTATGAAGTTTCTTTCTTAACGAAAGCAAAATCTGCCACTGCTCGTAACATTTGTACGAAAACTGATTAAAGTGTCTTTTTTTTTTTTTTTTTTTTTCCCTTAAACGATGCAAATAATATAAAGGTTTTTTATGTATAAGGTATTATTTTGTTGCTTGCATTTAAGAATTAGTAACTATTTAAAGTTAATTCATTATTAAAAACTATATTTTTATCATTTAAAAAGTCTTTTTAACATTGTGAAAAGTCTCCTGATTTTTAAGTGTCATAGGTAGGCAAGTAAGCATTTGTATTCCATTACAAAATCAATCAAACAATAAAATTCAAAAAAAAAAAAAAAAAATATCAAGAATAAAACATATTTCTTAAGAAATCCTTTTTTGTGCTGTTGATTTTTCTATGTACAAAACAATCTATTTTTGCTTAAAAAAAATCGGAGAAATGCACAATCTGGCATTCATAAAACTTCAGTATTATTGCACACTAGCTAAAACAGATATGCACTATGTACTTACTTGAGTTGCCACATAAATACTTTTATGAATTTTGTATACATGCAAATAATTATATGTAGATTGTAGTATATCTTGTAAAGTGTAATATGAAAAGCCTCGTAATGTGAAGCATCACTAGAAAAATCGATGGACTGGTACATTTAACATCGGTACAGAGCCATTTAACATTGAAGTAATCTCCTTGGCAAAAAATAGTAGGAAGCTACAATGATTTCAGCAAATTTTTGTTACCAAAAGTCACTGAGCTTGGCAACATTTCAGTCCAGTCCCTGTGTAACACTAACTGGTCTGGTCTCACTGTAACTGTATTCCACCCTATGTTACTGTGACTATGTATGGCTTGCAGTAATTTTGAGAAATTGAAAGTACTGAAAATTTCTCAGTGGATGAGGGAAAACTATATAAGACTGGAAAGAGCATCAGTTTTCAGCTGAGTTCAGTATATTGAGAGATCACTTCTCAAGCTTTTCTTTTAAATATGCTTTCGATTGCTTTCTGTTTAACATTCTTAGCAGTGTGAAGTTGCTCTGTCATAGTGAAAAGAGCTGTACAAGTATGCGTAAAATTTTCAAGAACTGTCAAGTGTTTTTGGAAAAATAAATTTTATCAAGCTGTCATTAGTTCTAGATGCATTCAATCCATTGTTAACATACTGTATGCACCTAACAATACGTTTTGTCAACCTACTACTTTGCCTTATGGCCATATTTTTGCAGCTTTTCGTCAGGGGTGCGGATAATTCGAAGGTAATAAATTTCGTTAGACTGTGTTGTGGCAGGTGCCATAATGGCACATATTTCAAGGAAAGTAAAGCTTCCCTCGCAAAGAAAATTTTACAGTGTATGAAAAAGTACTATGTTTGATTGAATTCATCAAAAATCGTGTCTGAAGTTTCTTTCTGATTAGAAAATATTATGTAGCCATATAGAATAAATAAAATTAAAGTGAATAAAACGTTCCTTCATAAAAAAAATCAATCTTGATAGACTCTTTTCTTGAAAAGAATATTTCCATTTAAAAAAAAAAAAAAATGTGATAGGCATTGATATCTGAATAGTGAAGAAGTATGTGTGCAGTGGAAAAGATTGTAGATCAAGCAAAATGAAATGCTGCCAATCGCACTACAGGCCACTCTTTATCCAAAGAATGTGTTGTTATACATAATGAAATTCAAAGAAAGAGCTCTATTATAAACTTGTTCAAAAAAAAAAAAAAAAAAAAGATTAATTCCAATGAGTATTATTCCCAGTTAGATCAGAAAGCAGCTAAATCATCATACTAGTTAGTTAAATCAGTTAGTTTTAAGTTAATTTAGTGCTACAGAAGTTACAGTTTAGTATACAGGAACATGCACTTCTCAGGTACTTATTTTCTTTTTAATAATTTTTACTTCAATTTATCAATTTCTGTTCAATATTGATCTTGTATACCCAACAATTGTTCATTAATAGAATCAAAATTATCTTACTGAAATTTGAAACAATTTATACGTAATCATAATGTAAACTTTAATGGTGGTTTGTTTAACATTGAAGTAAAATGCCTTCTCAAAATATGAACAAGCATGTGTTTATAGAATGCTGAATGTATTTTGTATAGATGTTATTGGCTGTGTTTTTTGCAGTGGTTAAATTCAGATATTTATTTTTAGGCATATCCTGAGGGAAGCAGTAAAGAAAGAAGACGAGCTGCTATAGCTCAATCTTTATCTGGGGAAGTGAGTGTTGTACCACCTTCTCGTTTGCTTGCACTCCTTGGTCAGGCATTAAAATGGCAGCAACATCAAGGTTTATTACCTCCAGGTATGGCTATATGTAAATATGTATCCTATGAATAATGTAAAAGTAAATTTCTTTGTATATCTAGTTCAAAATAGATTTTGGTTTGTGAAAAATAGTTTTAATTCAGTGGTTTAATATTATTTTTATTATTTTAGTTTTAGCCCAAAGGGGCATTAGACCTAAGGGGCTATTAGTTTCAAAATGGCATCTTGTGTTATTTCACTTTCTTTGGTCCACTTTTCAAACTGTTGCCACCAAATATTATCGCCATGTATTATATTTAAAGAAGCTAAATAATGAAGAATCTGCATGAGTGCATAAATGTTTCTCTCATTGTGAAAAAACAGTGGTACCTAGAGCCATCAAATTTTGGATAACATAGTCCTCCACCCAAATATGGGCACTTGGAAACCCAACTTTTGAATTTCAAATTTGTTTTATTATCTATTTCAAATTTTGTGAAAACTTTAACGAAATTTGATTGACAAACTCATTGATTTCAAAGCTAGTAACCTATTTTCAGACTTGTGCATTCAGTCTATTACAAACCCATACACAAGATACAGTATTATTCGAAAGCATAGTATATATTATTCCCATTCATTCAATATCAGTTACAACAATAACAGTACATTGTTATACATGTAATTAATTAATATTGTGTCCTTTTGTTGGTATGTATAAAAAATTATCTCAATATTGATTTTTTTAAAAAAATTTTTTTATTTATGTGCTTGCAATTTAATTTTTAAAAAAGAATTTTCTTTAATAAGCCGCTTTCCTTTTCATTAGTGATGGGCTGTAATTTCTGTTAAATCTCTTATGCAGTCAATGAGATCGCAGAAATAGAATAAAGTGGTTATGAAAGATATTGTCAAAAATTATGAGATCACTTAAAAAATTTTTTTCAAAACTTGTTTGAAGAATGGGCATTTTTTAGGCCTAAAAAACAATTTGCCGAGAAGGACTATTAATTTTGCTTTAGTATTTTGTGTTGCTTCACTATAAAAGTCTGAATCACTTTTCAAATTGTTGCCATCAGATATTAGAGCCCTGCATGATATTTAAAGAAATTAAATAATGAAGAATCTGCATGAATCTATGTATGTTTCTCGCACTGTAAAAAAACAATGGTGCCTAGAGACATTAAATTTTGAATAAGGTAGTCTTCCACCTGAATATGGACATCTGGAAACCCAAATTTAGAATTTGAAATTAATTTTATTATCTATTTCATATTTTGTAAAACTTTAACAAATTTCTGATTAATAAACTCAATGATTTCAAAGTGTTCCATTAACCGTAATCGCGTGCATATTCAAGCACAGATTTTATGTGTAAGGTTTCTTTTAGCCTAAAGGGGCGTTGGACCCAAAGGGCTATTAGTCTCAAAACGGCATTTTGCATCGTCCCAATTTCAGTGGTGAATCACTTTTCAAACTGTTGCCAACAAATATCATCACCATTATATTTAACCCTAGAATACTGCCCATTCATCTCATAGACGAAGCCCATTACAAATAACTTTGACCTGCCCCTCCCCCGAAACAGGAAATAGGATGGTCTATTCAGTACTTTTACATGACCATGGCTACTACAGATAAGAACGTTCCTTCTTGGCGAAATATTTCCGCAAGTGGCATTTTTAGAACAATATTCGTCTAACAGACGAATGGTTAGCTGTAATGTGTGCACTTGAAGATGCGTTGCCTTGAAGGTGTCAAAGCTTTTTCGCAGAAAAAATTTTTGGGGTAGACCTGAGGCTATCCAGAATCTGTTAAAAGAACTAAGTGATTAAGAAAATTCTATTTCGGAAGATGAATCAGAAAAAGATTTTAACAAAGTTGAAAATCATGAATTGACAGATAGAGACAAAGATGAAAATGAGGAATTACCACTTAACAATGAAGAGGAAGAAGAAGCAATGATTGAAAAACACACCCTTGAATATGAAAATATGAAGTTGAACTATGAAGCTAAAAAACTCTTACAGTTGCGTTCTCGAAATGTTGGAACTTCAATTTATTATTTTGACAAAGTGAAAACCCTTCTGTTCTATAAAACAAAACCAAATAAGTGTGTTATTCTTCTCTACATTCCATGAAAAATCAAATGTAAATCAAGAAAGTAATAAACCGGAAATAATAGAATTTTATAATTCCACAAAAGGGGCTCTAGGCACATTGGATCAGATGTGCAACAATATGTCATGTAGTAGAAAAACACACCAATGTCCTTTGTGTGTGTTTTATGGCCTGCTTAATATCAGTTTAGTGAATGCACATGTTATATATGTGCATAATATGGCTGAAAAATCCGAAAAGGCATTATCGAGAAAAAAGTTCGCGATAAAGTTACGTGAAGATGGATGAAGATGGATGACTCCATGGATGAAGAAACGTATCAATGTACCAACTTTGCCTCAATCAACAAGAACAATTATAACAGAACTGTTGAAATTAGATTTGAACATTCATCCTCCTAAACAACCAGACGGTAAAAAAAAAAAGAAAAATTTGTGCATTTTGCCTGCACAATTTGCACAGAATGACGCACAATTTTTGTCAAACATGTTCCAGTGTGAGGAGAACATCACGCTAATGTGTATAAAGACACTTTGAAAGTAAATAAATTATATTTTCTTGCCTACTTAAAGTTCGAGAGTCATGAAATCACCTGCAGGTAGTATACTTTTATTCTAATTAGCTTTTAAAATAAGTTTTAAGCACGCTTACGCATACTTCATCTCGAAGACGAATGGTTGCCATTCCCGTAAGTTTTTCAAAGGGTAGCATTCTAGGGTTAAAGAAACTAAATAATGAAGAATATGCATGAATGTTTCTTGCATTATAAAAAAACAATAGTATCTAGAGCCGTCAAATTTTGAATAACATACTCCTCCAACCGAACATGGACACTTGGACATTCAAATTTTGAAATTTTGTAAGTCTAAAAATATCTATTTGAAATTTTGTAAAACTTTAATGAATTTTTGATTAACAAACTCAACAATTTCAAAGTGAGCAATGGCATATGGAAGAAAGCATTTTTATTTCCAACATTAGACTGTCTACCAGAAATTCTAAAGATATGCGGTTTTGCTGTTCTTAAATATTTTGTGATGTTACTGTTGAATTGAATTTTATGTGGTTTAAGTGTGAAGATCATGATATTTAATAAATAAAGGAATTGCACAAAATATTTTTAAAACGCCCTTTTGGGCGTAATATAATATCTAAAGACTTTCAGATTTCCCCCTCCCTTTTTTTTTTTAAAACTATTTTAGTTTTATTTTTATAAAACTGGAATATGTAAGAGAGAGGGTAAACATAAGATTATGCTTTAGTAACAATCAGCTAAGAAAGATTCTTCAGAAATTACTTCAGAGATAATAAAAAGTAATTCTGATAGTAGTTATTTTATTTCAGTTGTTACAACAGATTTATCAACTTGATTCTGATTTGAAGTAGAATTCTGTCGTAGAAAATTTTATATGCAAGCATGTTCTGTTTTAGAAAGTAGACTGCTTCTGTAAACATTTAATAAAGGGAAATGATGTGAAGCAATTAAAAATTGTTAATAATTTTTATCAGAAACATGTGTAAGTTTTCTCTGTCTTTTAAAAAATTGAGGAAAAAAAAGAAGGGAAAAGGTATTTAAATCACATTGAATGTATGTGTCCTAAATTAACCCTAAATACAAAAATGGTGTGATAAATATATAGCTGAAAGGAACAGAAGTAGTACCGTACAAAATCCAAAATCTGGACTCGTCTGGACTTCGGCTATTCTGGATTTGGGATTTTTCCGGATATTAGAACATCAGTTTAAATCTAGTAAGATTGCATGTAGAAATTATAAAATTAAAAATATGAAATCATGATTTATGAAATAATGAAATATTTATGATCTAAAAAGTATCAAAATTTACAAAAAAAAAAAAAAAAAAAAAAAAAAAAAAAAAAAACTTAATATTTATTTGTTTACCTTATTAAACATTTCTTTCAATGTAAGTTGTTTAGTTTTTTGGCTAATACTTTCTCCTTAATTCTGTAGGCAGGCATAATCTCTTGTTTAGACACTGTTGAAGTCCTGTAACTGCTGTTTTGAGAATTCCAACTAACAAGTCAATCAAAATTTTTTCGTTTTCAGTAACTTCTCTGTTACTTTCTTCACTATCGGTAGTGGCATTTTCTGAATCTAGAACCATACTACAGATTTTGCCATTCATTAATTGATTGATGATTGAAAAGCATTGTCATCACAATCAAAAACGTCTTTTGTATCATTTTCATTTATTACCGATTCTTCACATTTCTTTACAAAATCTGTTAAGTGGAAAACTTTACCTTTGTTTTGCGATTCTTAATTCAAATATTATTATTTAATTATTCTTAATTCAAATAGCATCTAATTACCTAAATGTAATCTTTAGGTCTATGAGTATCGTCGACAATTTTTTTTTTCGCGTATGGAAAGAAATTTTTGCTACATTTTTTCTCATCAACATTTTTTAGCATATTTCACTTAAATTTGTAATCATTGGCAAGCATGTCAACATAAAAGGTTACCATACTCCTTTATTATTCAATGACTAATATAAAAAAATTGTTTAGGCATCGATACATGAGTCATTACTCAAGTTATCATGTTTTGATAAACATGCGGTGATGAAGGAAAATATAATAAATAATGGTTCACCAGGTTGGCATCACATCAACGCTATATCTAAGTGGAATGTTTCAGTTTGAGATGTGTACCAAAGCAGATATGCAGCAACAGAGCCAAATTACTGATCGTACAAATTTATGCTAAAATGATGGTTTCTTCAAAAACAAGGTATTTTATTTAGTGGCAAAGTGAAATTAGGAATCGGCACTCTCCAGATGTTTTATTATGCGTAGAGGGAGAATCAAATGCGCGTGCGTAAAGCCTACGAGAAAACAGTGTTGGTGGTTTTGAAGTCCGGATTTTAGATCATTTCAGATAATGGTTGTTCATATTTCGGACTTTGTACTGTAT